GTTAATCGTTAAAAAAGATACATACAAACGACATTTACTGTGATACCCGAATATACATACAATATGTACACTATGATACCTTTGTAAAACAACTAAAAATAACAAAAATAGACATCGTAATACCTTTGTAAGACAACGAAAATAAAGAAAATGTACGTTATGATAGACTTAACTACAGAGATACATTGTGAAACATGTTATGATACATTGTGAATATTATTAATGTGATACACTTTTATCCATAAACATATTTAAAAAGACAATATATTATAGTAAAAAAATATTTAAAAAAATTAAATAGATCTTTTAATGAGTTGTTATAAATAGAATTACTAAATTACCCTTTTTACCTTATTTAAGAAATATCCTTAAATATCTCAAATGAATAGTTCACATTAGATTTCACAGTTATCAAAAAATGCCGAGTTTTTATTTGATTAAGCCCCTGGCCCATATATATATATATATATATATATATATATATATATATATATATGGAGAGAGAGAGAGAGAAGTGATCAAATACAAACCGCTCCCTTTTGTACAAACTGTACAAATTAGCATCAACCAATAGCATAATTTCATTTAATTTTCTTTATTTTTGATTCATAAGGGTATGATTGTCCTTTGAATTTATAATAGATAATGTTAGTAATATTTAATTGTGTCTAAACCGGGAAGATTATAGATATTAGAGGTTTTTTAGTAAATGATCAATCAATTTGTTTTTATAATAATCTTGAAACCGGTAAAATTTTAGATACTTAAGAACTGTTCAATGAAACAGGGTAATTTCCAATGAAACGAACTCAAATTGTTCAATAAAACAGAGTTGTATATGATTACATCGGATTCATATGTATAACAACTGTAATAAAACATGTTTATATTCATAGGTATGTATAACAATTTGTAATGAAACAGATTCATATGTATAACAGATGTAAGTAAACAAATTCATAGGTCATATATGATTGCGCCAGATTCATATGTATAACAGTTTGAAACAGGTTTATAGAACATGTTTTTCCCCATTTTGTCCTTTCGTATCTCCAATATGAATTTGTTTTTTTTTTACTTAATTATTTAGTTTGTTTCAATCTTCACATTTCATAATAAAAAAAATGGAATGAACGTGATTAGTTTGTAAGGTTTGTATGAAATTAATGGTTTACAAAGTAAACTTCCTATATATATATATATATATATATATATATATATATATATATGGAGGATTATGCGAGAAGGTAAACAATTTACGAGAAGATTAAAAAAAATATGAGCCACACATCTTATTAAATCTTTAACTTAAATAAAACTATTGAAAATAAATTAAAAAAGATAGCAATGTCATTTTATAATATATTCTTATTTATAACCGTAATTAAATTTCAAAAAATCAAAATTTATTTTAACTTTTAAACCAATTTAAAATATAAATCTTATCAATGACCACATCACTTATCCAATCCATATGATTCTTAAAAATCGTGACATACTATCCAATCCATATGATTCTTAAAAATCGTGACACGTGTCTTTCATCATTCTAATTAAACATTATTTTTTCTTAATTAATTTCCTCATCTATCATTAACTTTCTATTTAATTCAAAACAAAAATACCAAATCATGACGAACCAGTACCATTTATTCGCAACCGTTGCCAAAATTATAATCGGATGATGGCTTCTGCCTTCTCGTCTTGATGGATTTCAATTTCTTAGCAACCATGATTCACTTTATAGTTGATGTTGATATAAATCACATGTGAATATGTGATGTTGATATTATCAAATGTGATCATCGTTAGTATCACATATGATATTTGATAGAGTAAATTATGTTTCTTGTCCTTGTGGTTAGTTTGTCATAAATTGCGGATTTCATTCATGTGGTTTTGAATTTTTTTTTCCATCCCTATGGTTTGCAATTTATTTTTATTTTTACCCCTGAGGTCAAAACACTACTTTTAAGTATGAAGAACTAAAATAAAATGATTTGTAAACTATATGGACGAAAAAACAATAAATTTTAAATCATAAAGACGAAAAAGGTCATGAATCATAAATCATAGCGATAAAATCGTAATTTTAAAACAATAAGAATGAAAAAAGAAATTTTCAACAAACCATAGAGACTAAAAACGTAATTTACTCTATTTGATATTATCACATGTAATCACTAATACCATCCCATGTGATAAATGATATTATCACATGTGATATTTAGTATTAGATTCATAAGTTTTATAATTATTTTATCACATGTGATATGTACAAAATTACAAAGCAGATTATATATGATGTATAACATATCATATATTATATATAACATATCACATGTGATTCAAAACGTGAATTCAAAAACACGTAAGAAATCAGTTAAAAAATGATCGATTAATTTTGATGGAAATTATGAAAACACTTCATTATATATCATATCCAGTTTGAAGTATTTCAATTTCTTTTTATACAAAATCCCAAATTTAGCTAAAGCTTATGAAGATGAACCTTCACATTGACATCATAAAAGTCTTTTTTTATTATTAATCTGTATATTCAACCCGCTATGCGAGCCGACTAATCCCAGAACGACCACATGCTTTGCAGATAGCCTGAAGTCACTGCATTTTAACCTTCGTGGTCACAATGAGATTTTTATTTCTCCTTGGATTTGAACTTGAGTTGGAGTAAAAGTCTATTTTTAAAGCTTCAATGCATCCATTATTTAATTTAGCATACATAAGCAAAAGAATACTCTTAAATTCCGTTTATTCCCTCTCCTAATACGTGAAATTTAAAAACAGAAACTTGATAAACAGTTATAATCATATTTCATGATTGACATCCAATTGCATAATACAAGTCAATTCATGGACATATTATGATATTTGGGCTTCAACGAGACAATTTTTTCAAATGATTCGATCATGATTCTTGCGTCAATACACAAAAATTGTTTGACAAATGCTCAGGAAGGAATACAAGCACTTTGTTTTTAACTACAAGGGTGGTGCCTGATTGGTTTGAGCTTGGCTCCAAAGGTCAAAAGTACCAGGAGGTCACAAGTTCAAATCCAAGGAGAAATAAAAATCCCCTTGTGGCCACGGAGGTTCAAATGCGGTGACTCCGGACTATCTGCAAAGCAGGTGGTCGCCCTGGAATTAGTCGACTCGTATATCGGGTTGGATATCCTGGTTAATAAAAAAAGCAGTGAAGAATCTTGGTCAATCTAATTGTGCTTTCATGGAAACCATGACGAGAATCGAAATGAGTGTGTATTAGAGTATTGATTTCAAACCCTTGTGTGGTGTTATAAGCATATCTTAGTAACTTGTCTTTACGGAAAAGAATGTATAGTAAAAGATTTAAGATTGATTTTCACTATTAATTAAGACAACAGTTAAAAAAAAAAAAAAAAAAACTCTGAATCGTTTTAGGTGTTAAACAAGTTAATGATATGACGTGATGCCATTAATAGTTACTAACGTAAGAAAATCTTAACAGAACATTCGAATCTTACCAATGCTTCACTGTATTCGTTCTTCAAGAACAATAACGAATCTAGTAATCTAAAATACGGTATACATTTCCATTTTAGTTAGAGACAATGTATCTGTACGTTCAATCCCTTCAAACCCTATCTTTTTATTAAAATAATATCAGTTAACAAACGTTCGTATCCAATGCAATTTATGATATTACTTTCGAAAATGCACAGTTTGGTACATAGTTATGGGTTCGGCAGATTAGATGGTATTAAAACGAGCGTTTACATGTAAACGTTTGTCGAATTTAAATCGTTATCGTGTATCAAATTCATGTTTTGGCAAATATTTAGAGGGTGGATATTAGGAAACATGTGTTCTTTGTTATTTGTCCAGATTTCTGTTATGGAGATAATCTTTATTTATGGAAAATTTCAAAATTTAAATAAAAAATAATAATAAATTAATGAATATCACATGATAAGTATTAGATGGTTAGCCGTTTGAAGAGAAGGTTTAGGGTTTTAGTCCGGCCCTAAAACCTCCTTGTCTGTCTACATTCATCTTCTAAATCAAAACACATGGATTCCACTTTCCTTCCTTGAAAAATCTTTAATGTATATATGGAAATTAAAGATTTTTTTCCTTAATTATATTTATTTTTATATAATTAATGTGTGTATATATATGCAAAGTTCTTAATCCGCCTTTCAATCCATCTAGGGTTTTTCCCAATTTTTATTCTTGTCGCCGATTCTTGTTTGGGTGTTCTTGAGTTCGCAGTGACAGTTCTCTGATCATCACCATTTTTCCCAGGTTAGATCATGATTATTTCAGTGTGTGTGTGTGTGTGTGGGGGGGGGAGAGCTAGAGAGAGAAGGGAAAGGTACGGTGGAAATGGTGGTGGAAATGGGGGTGTTTATGCATTTAGTCTTGAAGCTTTTTGTTTCAATCGTGAATTTGAAATTTTGATTCATAAAAATATGAAGAATCTTTAGACAAAATGTTATCAGGGTTTTTGGTTTTAAGCCCAAATTTTTATGCATTTGATCTTAAATTTGTGAAATTTCGATTCAGAACCTCTGAAGATGCTTTGATATCACCATTCATATGGGTTGGCTTTTAATTTTCTTTAGGCAAAATGTTTGATTATTGTGGTTTTAACCCCCATTTGCTTGCTATTTGAAAAACTGATCTTGAATTTGAAAATTTTCTGATTCATAAACATTATGGACGTTTTATTTCTTGATTTTTCTCTGTTTCTTGCATTTTGATTATTGCTTGTTGATGTTACTATATTATCTGCATGTCACAATTGTACTGATCGTGACTAAAAGTCCCCAAAACTCATGTGATCTTAATGGAAGAAAGGTCCATCTTTGAAATTTATACCTTGTAATTAACTCACATTGTGTATGTTATGTTCTTGATGTTTCTCTAATTTCATTTGTGACAGTTGCATTGAATTTTTATTAAAAAAATTCTGTAAGTATCGGACCAAATCTCTCAGAATGATTCAAAACCCTTTTCTTGGCGGCAACAATGGTGGAGGAGAAAATCTCCCTCAACAAAATGACTCAAACTCTCAGTTTGAAAACTCCAATAACAGGCCAAGAAACCCTGAAGTCAACATCAACCTTCCAAGGTCAACACCTTTGCTCTCAGCTGTTCAAAGATCCAACCCTCCAACCCTCCCTGTGAATAGAGGAACCACCCACATATTCTACAAGACTCGAATGTGCCAAAAGTTTCTTGAAGGGAACTGTCGTAATGGGGATAGTTGTACTTTTGCTCATGGATCTAATGATTTGCGTGAGCCCCCGCCAAATTGGCAAGAACTTGTGAAGGATAATAGAGGAGGTGGGAATTGGAATGAGGATCAGAAGATCATCCATCGGATGCGGATTTGTAGGAAGTTTTATAACACGGGCGAATGCCCGTATGGAGAAAAGTGTAATTTTCTCCATGAAAGTCCTTCCAAGTTCAAGGCTGAAGCAGCCGTGGACATGGGAAGAACCAGACAGAGTTCTGTGATCAACATTCAGACTGTGGTGGACCATCCTCAAACTGAGGCCGTTCATCTTTTGCATGGTAATGTGGATGCTGTTCAAGTTGGTACTATGAACTCTGATCATCCAGATGCTTTACGACCTTCCATGAAGGCTACATATTGGAAAACTCGAATCTGCAGCAAATGGGAAGCCACTGGCCAATGCGTATTTGGAGATAAATGTCACTTTGCTCATGGGCTTGCAGGTAAGCATCCATTTTCCTTCTGTTTTCAGTCTATGCATGTATATGTGTGTGTATGTATGTATGTATGTTAGCTGGTTTTGCCCATAATGCATGATGAATGATGAAAACTAGCTGATTTATGATGTAATGGCTTATGATGGTATTAATCAAGTCAAAAGATGCAAACTTTTAGGATCTCTTTTTGTATATAAAGATGGGAACTTGGGTATTTCACTTGACTTCAGTTTCAGGTTTGCATAGAAGCGTGTTTTATATGCAAAGGTGGGGGCTTTCAGGTTTCTTGTTCTGTTTTTCAGTAGATCAAGAGATACAGACAAATAGTTATGAATCTTTGAACGATAGGTTATGTTTTTCGGAACGCTGTTTCCTTGTATCCCGACAGATCTTTCTATATACTGGCTTCATTCTTCTCTGTGTTCTCTTTTTATTGGTTTCGCAGAGCTAAACACACCAGTTGGACGTGTGGAGGGTGATGGTCAACCTTATGCTGGCTTTTCTGTTGCACCCAAGCCGTTCACCGGTCCCATCGTTGAAGCAGTGGCTACTAATTCAGCAACCACCGTTCCTGTACCACAAGGTGAAGTTAGGGAGATTGCAAAGTGGAAACTAGCACATAAGAAGCTGAACCGCATTTACGCAGATTGGATTGATGATGATGAAGATGAGCAGGTGTCGTCAAGCAAAGCTGATTAACGGAAAACCCGATCTTTAATGGTGGTTGTTTAAAGTGTTTGTTGGTTCTTTTCTGCATTTTATTTAAATTTAGAAGGATGTTCATCCCAAAAGGGATCAAATTCGTATACATGTCTTTTGCTATTCCTGTTGCTGTCAAAACATTAACCGGTAATTCAAACCGGATTTGAAATTTGGAGTTGAAGAGTTATGATTCAATGCATGAATGAGTTTGTACCAAGTGGGTGTGTGTCAGTGTGTGTGTTTTGTTGATGGACGGGCGAGGAGGGATTCGAACCCCCGACACCGTGGTTCGTAGCCACGTGCTCTAATCCTCTGAGCTACAGGCCCCTCGCAAAGACTTCTGCAAGATGCTCCATTTGTCTTTTATGAGATTAGAAAATGATTTACGTTATTATATGAAAAACAAAGAAAAGATCAAGTGTTATTACGTGGAAATTTACACAAATAGCAATTCTACAAAAATGACTTTCATTTTTAGTCATTTTATAAACTCATTTCCTTAAATAGATAAAGTTAACGAAAAAACTTTACACAGATTGAAATTTATTTTCAGGTAAGAGAAAAGTTAAAAAATGAGTTTACACAGAAAAAGAATTTCTAGGTTAAGTTTATTTTTTGATAAAAAAAATAAGGATAAAATACCAATCAAAATAACCCCTATGTCTAGTGATGTTGTCATTGAGTTGTCAAATCAATCAAAAAGTTGCGTCATAGAATGTTTTTACTACAGGACGAAATAACAGTCAAAATCGTCCCCCGAAGACGATTTGCAGTAGTAAAGGGCGATTTCATATCAAGTGATAAAAAAAATCAAAATTTTGTCCTTCAAATAGTATGCATGTAGGATTCATCTGTACCTTCAAACCCCAAATCACCCCCAATAAACCCTTCAAGGGCGATTTTTATGATCATTTCGTGAAAAATGTTTGAAATTGGTTATTTTATTAGTGTATCATATATAAATTGGTCATTTTGGATAATTTCTCTTATTATTATTATCATAGTATTAAATATCTTTTTTAGTTTTTTTTGTGTGGGGTTGGAATTGATTTTTTTTTTCAACAAACTCACCATTTTTAGTGTTTTTTTTTGTGGTTGAGTTAAAGATGTCATTAAAAAGGGTCCACCAATAAGAGGTTTATATAAGAATGATAATTAAATAAGAAAATAATAGTATAATTTTGGGTCAATCATTTATTTGAATCATTTTAAAATATATTTTTTCTTAAAAATCGTCCAAAAAGACATATATGTCATTTGTTGTATATACATTATATATAGAAATTTATTTATTTCTATAAATATTATTTAATTCATTTAATTAACGCATTTATTTATGATTTTTTAATATTTTTTGTGATTTAAGCATTATTAATTTTTCATTGATTTATTTTTTTATTACATTTAAAATAAGCATGATTTAGTTTTTCATTTAAAATATTTTTTTAATAAAATAATTTACTTAAGATTTTTTTACAATTTTCGTTAAAAACCACATGTGATATCCACAATTAATTGATATTTTTTTTTTTCCAAAAAAGAATGGCTAATGTTTGTCAAAATATCATATCTTGATATTGATCATAGTAAATTTAGGTGGAAAAGAAAATAAGTTATCTACAAAATTACATGTGATATTTGTAAATTATGAATTACGTTCTGAAGTAAATGTAATCTTATACATATTAATGTGCTCTGTTAATATAAATTAATATTAAAAAGTAATTAAAAAGTGACACTTTGAAAGATGACTAAACATTACATTGTTTTTTCAATAAATTTTCTATTATTTTTATTTTCAGTTAGAAAATCAAAATTTAAATCTATAAAAAAGTTATATTTAATTTTAAAAGATTTTCCATGTTAAAGATTTTAATATTAATTATATATTTAAAATACTTTTAGAATCTTATTATTTTAATATTTACAAAATATGTTAATACAAATTAATAATCATTTACTAATAAAAAAATCATTTCTCTCTTTTTACATTAAGTTTTAAAAAAATTAAAATTTTGACATATTTTAAGTTTTATTGTTTTAGAGAATAATATTAAGAATATGTTGGAACAAAATAAGGAACAAAATAAAGAACAAAAACTCAATCGTCTCTATTTAAGTGAATTTGTTGAGATGTTTTAAATGTACACATATGATTTGCTAAGATCATCTCCAACAACTATACAATTTTTCTAAAATATAATATCAAAAATTAAAATATCTAAAAAATTATATCAAACTCCAAAAAACTAGTTTATTTTAACAATTTCAACATTAAAATTATTAAAATCTATATTATATTATAAAACATTTGACAAAAACTCTTAAAAACCATTTGTATGCATGAAGTATTGTTTATTGATGCATATTACTTAAAATTCAAGGTTACAAATAAATTGTACGTAATTACAACTTATTAAAGTTTCATGTTTGAATTCGTGTAACTAATTGCGGATAAACATAGTCAAATACAAGATAAACATTTCATTTTAAATATAAAAAATCTAAAATATAATTAAGATAATCATTTAGTTCTAACAGAATACTTAATTATTATCCTTATAAAAAATTATATTATTAAATCAAGAAAAAATTACTTCATTATTAAATCTAAATTAAATTATAATAAAAAATTAAATTAAAGAAATTACACAAAAACAAGAACTTTTAAATTGTTAATTTAATATTAATATTGATATATTTATTTTTGAAATATTATAATATCTTCAAATTTATATTTTATTCAAAAATAAAAATATTATCCCTTTCTCAAAATCACATAAAAACCATATTATAACATCTACAAAGACAAAATAAAACGAAACATTGAAATCGAGATATATCTCGCTGCTTTGTGCGAGTACCCTTCTAGTATTTTACAAATGCATCATCTTAATGTACTTTTTAAAAAGTTTTATAAAAGAATTTATCACATTCAACCTCATTGGTAGAAACAATTAAAATATATCATTCTTCTCAATACTAAGTTTTACAGATTTCTCCAAACTTGGATATTTCTACCTTATTTTTTTTATTTTAGCATACACTTTTTTGGGGATAACTGTGGCTTTTCGTGCTAGTTTAGGCTCATTGAGTAGCTCCCCCCCCCCCCCCCCCAAGGCGAACACAAATGGTCTATAGTTATGGCAAGTGAACCTCTATGACCACAAGGTATATGACAACTTTAGCATCGTTGTTGGAGTACAAAAAAACTCCAAAATCTCTATAATATCAGCTTTAGAGCATCTCCAACTAATTCTCCAATATGGTTCATCATCTATATTGGTTTTTGTCCCAATGATGGTTAGTTAATGGGGTTTTTCCGTCTATTTTAAGTTTTTGTATACTTATGCTTCCCCTGATTCAAAATCCTGGCTCCGCAAGTAACCTATACATTTAGCTAAAAAGAAATACAAAAATAAATTCAACAAACATTATATAAAATTCTACACATTATTAGTATATGTAATAAACATTATTAATATATTTGATATAATAGACTAGAATTTTACACATAGATATAAATAAAATTTCTCTTTGCCTTTAAAAAAAATCATATCAAAATCAGCTTAACTTATTCATTAAAATATAAAATGTAAGTATTAATGTAAAAAAGAAAATTAGTAGGTAATAATATATTTAATAATATACAAGGATGCATCTAAAACTAACTATAAGAAAATCAATACAAAAAGGAAAAATGCACGGGCATTATTTGGCAAACATAAGCTAACGCATAAAATTAACTTATAAACTAGCTTATTGAAACGTTAGTTGCAGTAGCTTATAAGGAGTTTTTTTATCACTTTTTTTTTTTCAATTATAACCCTCACTAATAGTAATTGTTATTTATTACTATTAATTATAAATAAATATTAATTATTAATAAATAAAAATAAAATTAATTATTAGTTGTACATTGTT